CAGATGTGAGGGACCAGGCAGTCGGAGCAGTACTTATGCAGGATCACGGACGCGGTTTACAGCCTATCGCCTACCTTAGTAAGAAACTACACGGAGCAGAACTAAACTACCCCATTCACGACAATGAAGCCTTAGCGATAGTCATAGCCTTCAAGGCGTGGAGGTGTTACCTAGAGGGAGCCAAGACTGCAGTCTATACTAACCACTGCAGTCTCAAATACCTGAAGTCACAGCCGACACTCTTACGACGACAGGTGCGGTGGGTGGACTTCCTGGAAACTCACTTGCACTATGACATCGTCTACAAGCCCGGGCTACACAACAAAGCAGACGCATTGAGCCGCCCCGGGCATGTAGCAGGCATCCAGCTCGACGGGATGAACCCTCTACTCAAGGGTCTATTCCAACATGGGTACTCCGTTGACGCAGAGTTCGCTACAGCACAGACGAAGAAGCTGTTACAGTGGGAGAAAGACCTAGCGGTAAGGAAGGGTTCAGAAAAGATTTGGGTACCGAATTACGCCCCGCTACGGCAGATCCTATTGGAGGAGTTTCACGACGTACCTTACGCGGGACATTTCGGGAGCAACTAGACGCTAACAAGGATAGAGAAGTATTACTAATGGCCTGGGATGGCAGCAGACGTACAGTAGTTCGTCACCTCTTGCAACACGTGCCAGCGGATGAAGAGTAGCAAGCAGAAAAAAAGAGGGTTACTTCAGCCTCTACCCGTACCGGAGCAGCCATGGCAGGTCGTTAGCCTCGACTTTATCACACGACTTCCTTCGAACTCACGGGGGCACGATTCCATCCTCGTAGTCATCGATAAGTTCTCCAAAATGGGTCACTTCATACCGACCAACGCCACAGCTACAGCTGAAGCAACTGCTCGCCTCTTCTTTGACCGCATCATCACCATCCACGGCATCCCCACTACATTCATGTCAGACAGAGACCCAAAATTCACGAGTAAGTTCTGGAAGGAGCTCATGGGACTGTTGGGGACAAAGCTTGCAATGTCTTCAGCATACCACCCCCAGACTGACGGACAGACAGAGCGACTCAATCACGTGGTTGAACAGTTACTGCGCACAGCTTGCAAAGACGACGTCAGCCACTAGGACACACAGTTACCAACCCTAGAATTCGCTTACAACAACGCATCACATGCGGCCACAGGGAAAACTCCTTTCTTCATGTGTTACGGACGGGAACCACTCACACCACAGCACCCAACCACACCGGCACACATCCAAGCCGCACATGACTTCGTCACCACCATGCAGCAGTTATGGGAGAAGACTCAGCGTTGACTCATCACGATACAGACCTCCCAGAAGCAGTATGCAGATCGTCAGCGACGTGATCACTTAGTAGCAGTCGGAGATCAGGTGCTTCTTGACACGCGCAACTTGAACCTGTCTCACCTCCCATCCAAACTTCGGCCTCGCTTCTGTGGTCCTTTTCTCGTTGAGGCACAGGTGACACCGGTTACATTCCGCTTGCGCTTACCTACTACTTGGAAGCTTTACTACATGGTCACGTAAAAAAAGGCGCATCCAACATCGCCAACATAATCGCACGCCCACCGCCCAACTCCACGCCATCCTACTCGCCCAAACCAACCCACTATTTACAGGCCTATTCATCCACGGATACAGTACCGACCCATTTTTCACGACCGGAAATTCACAGCAATTGGCAGAAGCTAAAGGAGTCTACTACATAAAGACAAGCACCAGCCGCATTTGGGTACTCGCGTACTCACTACTAAGGGAACTTTTTCTATAGGAGGCACACGACGGAATTACCTCGGGACATTTTGGGGTGGAAAAAACGTGACAGCAACTTCAGCAGTATTACTACTGGCCGGAGCTGTTGACCGATGTACAGCACCACGTGGGCTCGTGTCCTACATGTCAGGTGATGAAGAGCTCGCAAAAAAGAAAGGCGGGTCAATTGCAGCCGATTCCACCGCCTGAGCATGTCTGCCAGCAGGTTACCATGGATTTCGTCACGGGGTTACCTTCAAACCTTGGGGGTAACAACGCAATTATGGTCGTCGTTGGCAGTTTGACGAAGATGGCACACTTCGCTGCGTGCAAGAAATCGATCTCAGTCAAAGAAACCGCTCGCCTGTTCATCGCAGTCGTCGTTCGACTGCACGGGATACCAGCCACGATAATCAGCGACCGTGACACGAAGTTCACCAGCAACTTCTGGAAGAACCTTTGGGAGCAGTCCGGGACCAGGCTACAGTTCAGCTCGTCGTACCACCCCGAGACCGACGGTCAAATGGAGCGGACGAATCAGACGATGGAGCAGTTGATTCGTGCCACGCGCGACGATTCGAAAACTTGGGAGCAACAGTTGCCTCGGATCGAGTTCGCGTACAACGCCATATCAGCGACGATGCAGCAGTCCCCGTTCTACCTGAACTGCAGGCAAAACCCTACAGTGCATATGACGCCAAGTCCGGACAACCCAACGCCACGTGCACAGCAATTCGTCGAGATTCTGCAAGCTGCCCGCACTAGAGCAGCCGAAGCAATTAAAAAAGCAAATGTCATCGCTAAGCGCAACTCTGACCGCCACCGCCACCCTATCACGTACCAATCAGGAGATTACGTACTGCTCGACACACAGAACTTAAGACCGCCCGTCGTACCGAAATTACGACCGCGCTATTGTGGACCATTCCAAACCAGCCACATGATTACCCCCGTGACAACACACTTACTATTGCCGATAGATTGGTACATCAGCCCATCATTCCATTTCAGCCTGCTTCGCCCATACATCCCAACCACGAGCCAACTGCTTCGCCACCGCCCGCCATCCATCGTAGCCCGAAACAATTATGAGCCATCGGTTTCGACACCTCACGGGAATCAGGAGAATCGAGTTCCTCGTTCGCTGGAAGGACCGCACGCCAACTGAGGATAACTAGGTGCCCCTGGCCAACATAAAAAACCACCCCGCCCTGCAAGTGTACTTGAGGAGCCGGGGTTTCCGCGATGTACACGCACTCGCGTAACGGAGAGGGCTTCTTGAAGGGGGGGGGGGGGGGGGGGGGGGGGTAGTGTAAGGATTTTTCTTGACATTCCTTAGCGCATCATGCATCATCGCGTACAGTAGCAGCCGTTGTTCGCCCGTTACTGCTAACGGGGCTTTGCCGACTTCGCGCGCACTGTTTCACCAAACCATGCACCGCTGGCCCGGCCGTGTCGGCCTACGCTTCGGGACTAGCCCAAGCCTCAATGCCAGCCTAGCACTAGCTAGCTCGCACGCACCGCGTTACCGTTTGCACGTTTCGCGTATAAATGTTCGCTCATGCATTCGTTTATTTTGTACTCGTTTGACACTTAGTGCAATCCTCGCTACCTCGATTCATTGCACCCGTAACACTACAACAACAAAACCCTCGCGAAGTTCCATGGTTGAGTTGTCATGGGTGCGTTAGCCTCGTGTACACAGTTTTCCGAGCCTTGTCACTTGCTGACCTCCGTTGAGTTGTTCAGGTCTTCAGGCCTACCACCGGAAAGTGCGGAAATCGGGTTACTTATCCGAGCCGCTCGTCCTTCAGTAAATAAAATGAAGCTGCCCGTAACTGGTTGCTTCCAAACCAATGCCAAGCCCAACTTCGAATGCATCATTCATCATACCTTTCCTGGCTGGGTGCGTGTTCACCTGACGCTAGTAGAGTACACGCACATGGCTGGGCTGTACAGAACGTGGATACTCGCAGGGTAAAAGCGTGCTGGACTGCTTTTTCATTCGTGACATTCTTCCTCATGAGATACCCACATGGTGTTTCGCGGAGCTCACGCTCAGCCCGCTGCTGCGCGCTGCTGCCAACCTCGCCGCTTTTGCCGCTCAACACAGCGCACAGTGCAATACTATCCACACAGCTAAGCAAAATGCTGCTACGAAACTTGGGGGAAGTACAGCACGGCTCGAGTGGCATGACTCCTTGGAAGGACTCCTTGTTGCAGGTGAATAGGTACAAATCGAGGCTGCTTTATCTACTCCGGATGCCGCTCCTCAGCAACTTTGGATTTGCACATCAATCGACTTTGAATCATCGCATGGTAATTTCCCTCGAGATTCTTCTACTAGCCGCCCCCACCCCGAACTTCACTTGTCATCACTCGTCGAGCAAAGGAGCCGCCATAGAAGCGTGACTCGAACTAGGTTACAGCGAGGCGTGCGTCATAAACCATATCATTCACCGCGGCGACGGCCGTTAGCGAGTCTCGATTCGAGAGTCCACGCCGTCGCCTCGTCCGACTCACACGCGGGCCGCGCGCAGGCCGCCTTTCCCGTCCGCATTCCTTCCCCATCCGCATTTCGCAACCACCGCCAGGGGGTTGCTGACCTGCATAGCTCAGGCATCCACAGTTAGCCAGGTTTGCACATCCCGTACGAGCGGCGCAAGGGGGAGGTGTTCGGTCTTCTGACACGATGGATAGTCGCGGCTCGGCCTTTCCAGCCCACGCGCTTCGATTAGTAGCAGTCTTACTGATCATCACTTTCACCCCCGCCGCCGCTGGCCGGCGGATAGGTAAGCGGCCTCCAAACGTACCGCCGCCGGAGCAACAAGTCGCAGCACGCCCTTTTTTGTCCTCAACGGCGTGCAGCACACTCTTTTTCGCCCCGCGCGGCGCCTATCATCGCCGATCAGCTCAATGCGACTCGTGGCTGATCAGCACATCTTTATCCGAGCATGTTGCCGCGTGGCACCGCACGGCACCGAGTCAGACCCAGGCCCCAGACCGTAAAACCTTCAATGAAGTTCGATCTTGACGACCTCTTCCCTCTTCTTTTCTCTCCTCTCCCAATCCCCCGAATCCATTACAGACACACTCGATACAACGTCAAACGCGAATTCTGACACAGCGACCTCTGTCGACGCGACAGCTGGCGCGGCGGCATCGGACCTCGCGGCGCTGGCGGTGGACGCGAAGACGCGTGCGGAGATTAAAGCCCTCGCGCCGCTGATGGGCAGCGCGGACCTGACGGGCGTCGATAAGCCGCCCGAACGCGCCTCGTACTTAACCAGAGACGATTTCGCCGCGGCGGCGCGCGAGTGGATCGCGACGGTGACCCGGCGCGTGCAGAAACTGATTCGGCAGGCGGGCGGCGGAGGCAAGGGGCGCGGGTCCAGCAAAAGGAACAGCGCGCGCGGGAACACCCCCCCTGTTGGTGAGAGTCACTTGCGGGCGATATTGAGGAATGGTGTTTGTTTTGATGGTGCTCTTCGAAAAAAAATCGTAACAATGATAAAATGAACACCTTAGGTTGTGGGACGAGCAAGGGGAACAGCGTGGGGGAAACTTCACTGCTGGTGGTGACAGTCGCAGGGCGGTCCGCGGTGGAATGGGGCAAAGGGCATGGGGTGTGTGGGCGCCGGGGACTGTGAATGTGACTTCTTGCTCTAATGTGCTTCGAGAGGTCAGGCTGCAGGGCGGCAGGAAGCAGCACCAGTGTGGCACGAGGACGGCACGACCAGAGGACGGCACAAGGACGGCACAAGGACGGCACGTGGGCGGCACAGGACGGCACAAGGCCCACAGGGGGGCAGCACGGGGGTGGAAGCTAGCATGGAGGGTGGAGCGCTGCTGCTGGCGTGGGTGCTCTGCAAATTCTTCCTTCTCTCACTCTCCTACCCCTCACTCTCCCCCTCCTTCTCTCCCCCCTGCCCTCCCCTTCCTGACCCTCCCCCTCCTCCCGCCGCCAGACCGCAGTCTGGGGTACGTCCCCCCCACGACCAAGGACCTCAATCCCGCCAAGCTGCCCAATCTCAACACCGTCTCGCGCTACCTCACCGTGGGTCTCACGCTCGACCCCGCCTCGCAGAAGCTCTCTTGGGATTTCAAGCGTTTTGTGGACCACCGCTCGCTGTATAAGGCCGAGGACGGGTTCGACCAGGGCAACTGCGGTGCGTGCTGTGCTGTTGACCCCCGTTGACTGATATTGGCCTGCGTTGACTGGTGTTGACCTGGTTTGCTGGTGCTTAAAACGCTTCGTGGACCACAGCGTGCTGTTTACGGCTGAGGGCAGGTTCGACCAGGGCAATGGCGGTGTGCACTCTGGACTTCTGTTGACCCGCGTTGACTGCTGTGGACCCCCGTTGACTTCTGTTGACCTGCTTTTAGATGCGGTTGACCTGTGACTGCTGTTGACCTGTGTTGAACGATGTGAACTGATGTGACTGCTGTCGACGTGCGTTGACTGCTCTCGATCTTCTTGATTTCATTTCCCTGTGGGAGGTCAACGTTTTATTGACCTGGCCTCACATTTCATCGATTCCTCGCCTCCCAGGCTCCTGCTGGGCGTACGCGGCAGCCACGGCGATTCAGGGCACGTATGACTTGTGTTGACTGCTCTTGACCTGCGTTGACTGCTGTAGACCCTCGTTGACCACTCTTGACCCGCATCTGCTGTCAACGCCTTCCCAGGTTCCTGCTGGGCGCACGCGGCAGCGCGGGAGATTCAGGGTACAACAAACAGACCTTCCCTAGCGCTTTTTAGCCAGACCCCTACCCGCTTTTTATCGACTGCTCCCCATCATGGCAGGTTCCTGCTGGGCGCACGCGGTAGCGCGGGCGATTCAGGGCGCGTATGCTCTCTTCACAGACACGGACACGTTCCCCACGGGGACTGCGCTGTCCGTGCAGCAGCTGGTGGACTGCACGGGCGCTGCTGCCTCGTGCCGGGGGGGGTACCCCGAGGCTGCCCTGCAGTATGCTGTTAAGAACGGGTTGCAGAGCGAAGAGGGTTATTCGTACACTGGTGTCAACGGCAAGTGCAGCGTCAACAAGGAGGCTGTGAGTTTTGAGTCGAGTCAAAAGGTGCCTTCTCGGTACCCCGAGGCTGCCCTGCAGTATGCCGTGAAGGGCGGGCTGCAGAGTGAAGAGAGCTACGCGTACACGGGGTTCAACGGCAAGTGCGGCGTCAAGAAGGATGCGGTGAGTTGAGCGAAAAGGTAACTCGGTACCTTGAAGCAGCTCTGCAGTCGATCTGCAGCTCTTGTCGATCTGCAGTACGCTGTGAAGACCAGGGCCGGGCTGCAGTACGCTGTGAAGACCAGGTCTCAGGACGAAGTTAAACATTTCCATGTATGAGCAGGTGCCGTGGCTCTACTGGGGTCCTACCACACCAAAGTTTAACTGCTTTTGAGTCAACTCAAAAGTGCCCTGTCCCTACCGACCGGGGGCCTCCTTAGGCCGTGCATGTCTCATGCTCCCTCTTCCTCACCCAACTGCGCTTTCCCTCCCTTACCACTCCTCGCCCCTCGCCCCTGCAATGCTTGTACACTGCTCCCTCAATCCTTACCAACCCTTCCCTCCAACCCCTCTCTCCCTCCAACCCCTCCATCACTCCAACCTCTCCCTCCCTCCAACCCCTCCCCTCAGGTCTGAGGATAAGTGCAACGTTTGGACGTACGAGGAGGTGCCACTACCAGGACCGCTTCACCCCTTCTCACCCCGTTCCTAGCATGCTGCTCCGGTTCCTACCGCCCCTCACCCCTCTCCACCGCTCTCAGGAGAAGTGGAGCATCTCGATGTACGAGCAGGTGCCACTGCCGGGGCCACTGGGGCTCATTCTCGCGCTGCAGAAGCAGCCCGTCATCGTCACCATCCGCGCCTCTGCGCAGGACTTCATTGACTACTCGGTGAGTTGACCCTGCTGCTGATGCTGATAGAATCACCCGTTAAAAGGTGAAGCAGCCCGTTATAGGGTGAAGCAGCCCGTCATCGTCACCATCCGCGCCTCCTCCCAAGACTTTATCGACTACACGGTGAGTTGGCGTTCAGCTGCTGCTGCTGCTGCTATGAACCATCCGCGCCTTTGCCCAGGACTTCATCGACTACTCGGTGAGAAGGGGTGTCTCCTTCCCATTCCCTCCTCGTCCGTCCTTCCATTGTCTGTGCCTTCGTAGGAAGCTCTATGAACCATCCACGCCTTTGCCCAGGAGTTTGGTGTTCGGCTGCTGCCGCTCACAAAGACTGTCCATGCACACTTCAATGTCTCCACCATCCGCTCCGCGCCTCTGCCCAAGACTTTATCGAATACTCGGTAAGCTGCCTGGGGCTTTGCTGCCTCTCTTCCCTCCTCTCCTCAGTCCCATCCAGACCTTTGGGTCGAGTTTTGGGTCAAGTCAAAACACTCCTCATTCACATCTGCACTTTTGGTTGGACTCAAAAGTCGCCATGTGATGCACGCAGGGTGGGAGGGGTACAACCATGAATGAAGGCCTGGTGAGGTGGGAAAGTCAAGGAGTCACTTTTTGCAGTCACCTTTTCAAGTAACTCGAACACACAAGAGGAGATGTGGAAACACAAGCGGATGACGCTCCTTTGAACCCGCAGCACACTGGCACTCTTCCCTCCTGCGTTCCTCCCCTCACAGGGAGGCATATTCGAGAGGTGGAACTGCTACGACCCCTTACGACACTGGCAGCACACTGGCAGCACACTGGCAGCACACTGGCAGCACACTGGCAGCACACTGGCAGCACACTGGCAGCACACTGGCAGCACACTGGCAGCACACTGGCAGCACACTGGCAGCACACTGGCAGCACACTGGCAGCACACTGGCAGCACACTGGCAGCACACTGGCAGCACACTGGCAGCACACTGGCAGCACACTGGCAGCACACTGGCAGCACACTGGCAGCACACTGGCAGCACACTGGCAGCACACTGGCAGCACACTGGCAGCACACTGGCAGCACACTGGCAGCACACTGGCAGCACACTGGCAGCACACTGGCAGCACACTGGCAGCACACTGGCAGCACACTGGCAGCACACTGGCAGCACACTGGCAGCACACTGGCAGCACACTGGCAGCACACTGGCAGCACACTGGCAGCACACTGGCCAGCACACTGGCAGCACACTGGCAGCACACTGTCATGCACACTGGCCTCAGCACACTGGCAGCAACACATGGCAGCACACTGGCAGCACACTGGGCAGCACACTGGCAGCACACTGGCAGCACCACTGGCCAGCACACTGGCAGCACACTGGCAGCACACTGGCAGCACACTGCAGCACACTGGCAGCACACTGGCAGCACACTTGCAGCACACTGGGCAGCACACTGGCAGCACACTGGGCAGCACACTTGCAGCACACTGGCAGCACACTGGCAGCACACTGGCAGCACACTGGCAGCACACGGGCAGCACACTGGTCAGCCACACTTGCAGCACACTGGCGCACCCTGCAGCACACTGGCAGCACACTGGCAGCACATGGCAGCACACTGGCAGCACACTGGCAGCACACTGGCCAGCACACTGGCAGCACACTGCAGCACACTGCGCAGCACACTGGGCAGCACACTGGCCGCACACTGGCAGCACACTGGCAGGCACACTGGCAGCACACTGGCAGCACACTGGCAGCACACTGGCAGCACACTGCCAGCACACTGGCAGCACACTGGCAGCACACTGGCAGCACACTGGCAGCACACTGGCAGCACACTGGCAGCACACTGGCAGCACACTGGCAGCACACTGGCAGCACACTGGCAGCACACTGCGCACACTGCAGCACACTGGCAGCACACTGGCAGCACACTGGCAGCACACTGGCAGCACACTGGCAGCACACCTGGCAGCACACTGGCAGCACACTGGCAGCACACTGGCAGCACACTGGCAGCACACTGGCAGCACACTGGCAGCACACTGGCAGGCACACTGGCAGCACACTGGCAGCACACTGGCAGCACACTGGCAGCACCACTGGCAGCACCTGGCAGCACACTCGCAGCACACTGCCTCTTCCCTCCCCTCACATCCACCCACACACACCCCCCTTGCCTGCCTCCCCTCACAGGGAGGCATTTTCGAGAGCTGGAACTGCTACAGCCCCGTGGGGAAAGTCTTGGATTGTCTGATCCTTCTCCTGTCCTCTGTCGCACCCTCCTACCTTCCCTCCCCTCCCTGCGTTCCTCCCCTCACAGGGAGGCATTTTCGAGAGCTGGAACTGCTACAGCCCCGTGGGGAAAGTCTTGGATTGTCTGATCCTTCTCCTGTCCTCTGTCGCACCCTCCTACCTTCCCTCCCCTCCCTGCGTTCCTCCCCTCACAGGGAGGCATTTTCGAGAGCTGGAACTGCTATAGCCCCGTGGGGAAAGTCTGGGGGAGTGAAGGCTCAGGGCTGGGGGCGACGGCGACAGCCACCAACAACACAGGCCTCCTAGACCACGTGATGCTGGCCGTGGGGTATAACTATGAGGAGCCGGACAGCGGAGGCAACTACTTCATTCTGAAGAACAGCTGGGGGCCGGACTGGGGCGAGGGCGGGTACATGAGGATACTCATGGAGAGCGGGCCGTTTGGCACGTGTGGCATGCTGGTCAACCGCGGGCTGTACCCTGTTGTGAGAGGTGAGTGAGAGGGGAGAGGGGTACGCTAGCACTCCGTTGTGAACGGTGAGTGAGAGGGGTCTTAGAGGGCTGTACTACCCTGTTGTGAACGGTGAGTGAGAGGGGCCTTAGAGGGCTGTACTACCCTGTTGTGAACGGTGAGTGAGAGGGGCCTTAGAGGGCTGTACTACCCTGTTGTGAACGGTGAGTGAGAGGGGCCTTAGAGGGCTGTACTACCCTGTTGTGAACGGTGAGTGAGAGGGGCCTTAGAGGGCTGTACTACCCTGTTGTGAACGGTGAGTGAGAGGGGCCTTAGAGGGCTGTACTACCCTGTTGTGAACGGTGAGTGAGAGGGGCCTTAGAGGGCTGTACTACCCTGTTGTGAACGGTGAGTGAGAGGGGCCTTAGAGGGCTGTACTACCCTGTTGTGAACGGTGAGTGAGAGGGGCCTTAGAGGGCTGTACTACCCTGTTGTGAACGGTGAGTGAGAGGGGCCTTAGAGGGCTGTACTACCCTGTTGTGAACGGTGAGTGAGAGGGGCCTTAGAGGGCTCTAGTACCCCGATGCGCGTGTTTGCCGTGGTGGAAATCCGCCATGCTGTTGGGCACGTGCGGTTTGGCACGTGCGGTTTGGCACGTGCGGTTTGGCACGTGCGGTTTGGCACGTGCTGTTTGGCACGTGCTGTTTGGCACGTGCTGTTTGGCACGTGCTGCATGCGAGCTGACAAGCGAGGCAGCGGCAGTCACATCTGGCCCCCTCTCTCCCCCCCACTGTCCGACTCTTCCCTCCATTCCAGAGTCCCCTCTCTCCTGTCTCCTTTCACCCTGCCCCGTTCTCCTTCCCCCCTCTCACGTTCTCCTTTCCCGCTCCCCCGTTTTGCTTTCCCCCTCCGCCGTTCTCCTTTCCCCCTCTCCCTATCCCACACCGCCTCGCCAGCCCTCCAGAGCACGGACCCCTACAGCACAGCGCCCTGTGAGGGAGGCACATGCGCGGTGGACAAGAGAGACAGCAGCGAGTACACGTGTGTGGGGGACAAGAAGAGTCAGGGCATACCCCTTCCCCCTTCCCTTCTCTCCACCCATACTGCCAGCCCCCCAGACCACAGACCCCTGCAGCACGGCGCCATGTGGGGGGGGCACGTGTGAGGCGGACGAGAGTGGCAACGGCAAGTACACGTGTCAGTGCTCGGACCTGCTGGTGCCAGCTGTCAACCGCGACGGCACTCCCACCTGCACCATCAGTGAGTTGTGGGAGGAGTGACTTGATCCGTTGGGCTCTTGGGGTGCCTTGGCTCTTGGAATGAGATGAAAATGAGATGAAAATGAGATGATAGGAGCCTCCTGATTGTGCCAGCTGTCAACTGCAACAGCGCACCCACGTGCACGATAATTGAGCAGGACTGTTGTTTTACGCCCACACGCACCAGCATGAAGGTAGGATGCGATGGGTGGTTCTACTTCTTACTATGCATTGGTCTTTCGGATGTGCTGTGGGGCGGTGGGACGGTGCTGTGGGCGGTGGAGGCAATGCATCAACAGCGACACTCAGCCCCAACCCCCCACCCCCTTGTCATATCCTCACTTCTTCTTCTCTCATTCCCCTTCTCCTCTTCACCTTCCTTTCAAGTCCACGTCTGCAGCGTGCTGCCCAACAGCCTGTGCGCCGTGGGGCAGGCAGTGCATCAACAGCACAAACCAGCGCCTACCCAACAGCCTGTGCGCCGTGGGGCAGGGCATCAACATCGGCGACGGCGGCTACTTGTGCCTCTGCCCGCCCAACTACAAGCCCGTGAGGCAGGGCAACAATAGCAGAATCCAGCGCCTACCTTGTCTCATATCCCCCCATCTCCGTCACTGCTTCCCGTCCCCTCCCCTCCGCTTCAGACGACGTCTGCAGCATCCCAACAACCCATGCGCTGTGGGGCAGTGCGTCAACAGCAACAATCAGCCACCTTCCGCCTTCCCATTGCCCCACGCCTCTCTCATTCTCCTTTTCCCCTTCTCCCTCCCCTCTTCAGTCGACGTTTGCAGCATTCTCCCCACCAACCCGTGTGCCGTGGGGCAGTGCATCAACATCGGCGACGGCGGCTACTCGTGCCTCTGCCCGCCCAACTACAAGCCCAGCACTCTCGCCTCTGGCCAGACCACCTGCGTGCCTGGTGAGGCTGTGCTTGGTGGAGGAGGGAGGGTGCTTGGTGGAGGAGGGAGGGTGCTTGGTGGAGGAGGGAGGGAAGAGTGAGAGTTTGACATCCCACACCATCTTAGACGTCCCTCACTCTGTTTCACATGCCGCACATCCCACATCCCTCACATCCCACATGCATACCGTACATCTTCTCTCACACACCCCATGGCAGACATAGGAACGAGCACAGCAGCAGCAGCAGTGTTTGCATTTTGGTTTTATTTGGAACGGATTTTGAGGCGCCTCAAGAATTCATCCAGTCGAGTGCGTTCACCATGTATGACATTGCACGTCCCACCCCACACGTGGTCTATTTGAAACGAATATGTCCATTTGAGTGCGTTCACCATGTATGGCATCCCACATGCCGCACATCTCTTCTCACACACCCCATGGCAGAGATGTCTGGGAGCATGGCAGCAGCGGTGCAGGGCACGTACACAGTGCAGGGCGGGGAGACGTGTGGCGCCATCTACGGCTTCATCGGCCTCACCCAGGAGCAGTTCCTTCTGCAGAACGAGGTGCGAGGAGGGATGAGAACGGTTCCTACAGCAGAACCAGGTGAGATTGATGAGAGTGGCACGAGTGATAGGGAACGTTTCCTCGCCAGGATGTCAGCCCTTCACTGTGTGCAATCTCACAGGGATGCAGACACGTCCCCTTCCTTTTGAGTCGACTCAAAAGCAGCCCCTCGCCAGGATGTCAGCCCCGCACTGTGAACAGACTTTGAATATTCTCGAAGATGGCTCACTGCGGACAATTTCACAGGGATGCAGACACATCCCCTCACAACCGGACAGGTGCTCTGCTCGGCCTCTCAACTTGGTCCATCTCAACTCTCCCCTCCTCTCCCAACCATCCACTGTTGAGTGGACTGCGACAATCTCAAGGCGGGTCAGCAGCTCAATAGCTCATCTCCATCCCTTCTATCCATCCATCCCTGCGCACCTTCCCTATCCCTTTCCCCGCTCTATTCTCCCTTACCCCACCGTAACCCCCTCCATCCACCGTTGAGTGGACTGTGTCAATCTCAAGGCGCGTCAGGTGCTCAACGTCTCCGTCCCCTCCCTCTTTACTCAGTTTCCTATCCCTTCTCCCCTTCATTCATCCCCCTTCCCCTCCCCCCTGCCCCTATCCCATCCCCCAGGGAGTGGACTGTGACAATCTCAAGGCGGGGGCGGTGCTCAACATCTCCATCCCCTCCTCGGCTCAAGTGTGCCGCGTTCACTACACTGTCACCCAGGTGCGTTACATGTCACCCAGGTGCGTTACACGTCACCCAGGCGCGTTACATGTCACCCAGGTGCGTTACATGTCGGCCAGGTGCATTACATGTCACCCAGATACACCGTCACTCTCCGCCTTCTCACCCAAAATTTCCCCCTTCTCACCCCTTTCTCTCTCTCATTTATCTCCCCCCTCCTCTACCTCCCTTCGTGTCCCCTCTCCTCATCCCCCTAGGCGGATGCCGCAGCAAGGAGCTGTGATCCCATCGGTCCCCCCACCTCTTCCCCTGTCCGTCCCTCTCCCCGCTCCCCCCAGGCGGATGCCGCAGCAAGGAGCTGTGATCCCATCAACACCCGCTTTGGCATCGACGTCACGACCATCAACCCCAGCCTTGACTGCTCAAGCCTCACACCCAACCAGCAGGTGCGGCGAATCAAGAGGTAGGGAACTGGGGAAGTGAGCCTATTGGTGCAGCAGGTAGGGGAGCAGGGGGGTAGGATAGTCAGTATAGACTTTAATCACTTTGGCATTGACGGTGCGACCATCAACCCCAGCCATGACCGCTCAGCCATGACCGCTCAGCCATGTCCGCTCAGCCATGACCGCTCAGCCATGACCGCTCAGCCATGACCGCTCAGCCCTGACTGCTCAGCCTTGACTGCTCGACCTTGACTGCTCAGCTAGCAAGCCAGTGATTCGCCCACCGGTTCCTTTCTCCCCTCTTGCCTCTCCAACCCTCTCCTCTTCTATTCTGCTCCACTCCTCCTCTCTTCTGCTCCTCTCCTCTCCTTCTACTCCTCCCCTCCTCCTGTCTCCCTCTCCCCCTTCTGCAGATCTGCATCCAGGTGGGGGACGCAGTGGCAGGAGCAGCGGACTACAACCTCTGCACGGACTATGTGACAGCCAATCAGCCAGTGGGTCACGAGCTCCCTTTCCCTCTCTCTCTCTCTCTCCACCCAACCCTGCAGATCTGCATTCAGGTGGGGGATGCAGTGTGAGGAGCAGCGGGCTACAACCTGTGCACCAACTACCTACCGGTGCCGCACCACCTCCCGTGCTCCCTTCCGTTTGAGGTTGATTTTGAGAATTCTCAAAATCAACGTCAGGAGCAGCAGACTACAACCTCTGCACCAACTACCTGCCGGTGCCGCACCACCTCCCGTGCTCCCTTCCTCTCTCTCTCCCCCCTCCCACAGATCTGCATTCAAGTAGGAGACGCGGTGGCAGGAGCAGCGGATTACAACCTGTGCACGGACTATGTGACAGCCAATCAGTGGCAGACCTGTGCCAATGCTGTTGAGTGGTACGGCATGACGTGGTTCGACCTCTACCGCCTCAACCCCGGCATCAACTGCGACTCTCTCAGCGCACTCACAGGCTCTGAGGTACTAACCACATGGGAGAGTGTGGCCCTGGGGATGGGGCGTTAGGGGGTGGCTCGGGGGAATGTGATCAACTGGTGCGCCCTCTCCTAGCTCCACCTCTTCGCCTCAACCCCGGCATCAACTGCGACTCCCTCAGCGCGCTCACCGGCTCCGAGGTAACTAAGAGGGTGTGGCGCCATGGTGGGTTGGTGCTAGGGCGTGTGCCCCTGGCAGTGTGAATAGAAAGCATGTGACCCTAAGGGTGCGTTGGCTTTTGAGGCGCCTCAAAAGTTGTCATGGTGGGTTGGTGCTAGGGCGTGTGCCCCTGGCAGTGTGAATAGAAAGGATGTGACCCTAAGGGTGCGTTGGCTTTTGAGGCGCCTCAGAAGTTGTCATGTGTGGGTTGGTGCTAGGGCGTGTGCATCTGACAGTGTGAATAGTCAGGATGTGACCCTAAGGGTGTGTCGGGCCTCAACCCCGGCATCAACTGCGACACACTCAGCGCACTCACAGGCTCCGAGGTACTCACAGGATGGCCCCAGGGGGGTGTGGCTCTGGGGGAGTGGCGCTAGGGGGGTGTGGCTCTGGGGGAGTGGCGCTAGGGGGGTGTGGCTCTGGGGGAGTGGCGCTAGGGGGGTGTGGCTCTGGGGGAGTGGCGCTAGGGGGGTGTGGCTCTGGGGGAGTGGCGCTAGGGGGGTGTGGCTCTGGGGGAGTGGCGCTAGGGGGGTGTGGCTCTGGGGGAGTGGCGCTAGGGGGGTGTGGCTCTGGGGGAGTGGCGCTAGGGGGGTGTGGCTCTGGGGGAGTGGCGCTAGGGGGGTGTGGCTCTGGGGGAGTGGCGCTAGGGGGGTGTGGCTCTGGGGGAGTGGCGCTAGGGGGGTGTGGCTCTGGGGGAGTGGCGCTAGGGGGGTGTGGCTCTGGGGGAGTGGCGCTAAAGGGGTGTGGCTCTGGGGGAGTGGCGCTAGGGGGGTGTGGCTCTGGGGGAGTGGCGCTAAAGGGGTGTGGCTCTGGGGGAGTGGCGCTAGGGGGGTGTGGCTCTGGGGGAGTGGCGCTAAAGGGGTGTGGCTCTGGGGGAGTGGCGCTAGGGGGGTGTGGCTCTGGGGGAGTGGCGCTAGGGGGGTGTGGCTCTGGGGGAGTGGCGCTAGGGGGGTGAGGCTCTGGGGGAGTGGCGCTAAAGGGGTGTGGCTCTGGGGGAGTGGCGCTAGGGGGGTGTGGCTCTGGGGGAGTGGCGCTAAAGGGGTGTGGCTCTGGGGGAGTGGCGCTAGGGGGGTGTGGCTCTGGGGGAGTGGCGCTAAAGGGGTGTGGCTCTGGGGGAGTGGCGCTAGGGGGGTGTGGCTCTGGGGGATTGGCGCTAAAGGGGTGTGGCTCTGGGGGAGTGGCGCTAGGGAGCACGCTAGGGAGCATGCTAGGGTGGGGGCGAGCATTAAGTGCAACTCCCTAACCGCGCTCACCGGCTCCGAGGTACCCACAGGATGGCCCCATGTGGGTTGGCGCCAGCTAGTAGGGGCTCACAGCTGTTCCCTTATGCGCTCACAGCTGTTCCATTATGCGCTCACAGCTGTTCCATTATGCGCTCACAGCTGTTCCATTATGCGCTCACAGCTGTTCCATTATGCGCTCACAGCTGTTCCATTATGCGCTCACAGCTGTTCCATTATGCGCTCACAGCTGTTCCATTATGCGCTCACAGCTGTTCCATTATGCGCTCACAGCTGTTCCATTATGCGCTCACAGCTGTTCCATTATGCGCTCACAGCTGTTCCATTATGCGCTCACAGCTGTTCCATTATGCGCTCACAGCTGTTCCATTATGCGCTCACAGCTGTTCCATTATGCGCTCACAGCTGTTCCATTATGCGCTCACAGCTGTTCCATTATGCGCTCACAGCTGTTCCATTATGCGCTCACAGCTGTTCCATTATGCGCTCACAGCTGTTCCATTATGCGCTCACAGCTGTTCCATTATGCGCTCACAGCTGTTCCATTATGCGCTCACAGCTGTTCCATTATGCGCTCACAGCTGTTCCATTATGCGCTCACAGCTCAGCTATTCAGGCGCTCTGCGGGGTGACTTTGAATGGGCTCACAGGCTCCGAGGTACCAACAGGATGGGCCCATGCGGGCTGGCGCCAGCTGGAGGAGCCTCATTGGCTCTGACGTTTCTACAGGGTGGTGCTAGCTGGTGTGGCTTCAGAAGGGGGTGGTCTTTGTGGGGTGACCTTATGGGGGATGGTACTAGTGGAAGTGTTGCTAGGGCCTATGCCACATGCGAAAATTGCCTTTTAAGGCACACAACTCGAGGACTTTCCTCAATGATTGCTCTAATCTAGCACTCGTCCTCACTCCTCCTCCCCACCTCTCCCCATTTCCCCCCTCCTCAACCGCCCAGATCTGCATCAAAGGCACGCCGTTGGGAGCGGTGGCATGCGGTAAGGCGCGGTCGAAGACGGTCGCAAACCGGCGGTACACGGTGGGGGCGGGGGACAGCTGTGCGTCGCTGGTGGTGGTGCAGTTCCAGCGCCAGCCGCCGCTTGTGGGCCAGCTCAACCGCGGCTGGATGTGCCGCTCCCAGAGCCTCTTCGCCGGCATGCCCCTCTGCATCCCTTCCTAGAAATGATGGTGTGGCATGGCATGCCGCTCTTTATCCCCTCCTGAGGACGTTTCCAAAAGTCACATGAATGTGTCACTTTGAAGCAGGGCTGATTTTTATCAGACTATTTTAGTCTGATTGTCTGAAATCTCAGACTCTTTTTTTTCGCCTTTCCTGAAATTTCAGTATTCCTGTATTTTGAACTCTGAAGGCCTCAGACCTGTTAGTTTTCAACTCTGAAAATTTCAGAGTACTTCGTTGTGCGATACTGAGACTCGAGACTACAGGGAGTATGGCCCCTGAAATTGCCGAATTTCAGTCCTCCCCCCTCCCCCTCTCTCGAATTACATTCAATTCTCCCCCTGCCCCCCTCCCCCCTCCCCCGTCCCCCGCCCCCTCTTACTCCTGCTTCTCGCCAACTCCGCAACGTTTTCCCTAGGCCAAACTCGCTTGACAGATATTCGCTATTACCGTATGGCCCCGGATAGAAGCGCAGGCCTATGTTAAGCGCATGCGCTTGTATCTGGAGCAATGCGCTTATGGCCGATCCTCAATTATAAGCACACCCCTTATAAAACCCTGATTTATTATAAGCGCATGTATAAACATATTTCAAAAAAACGGATTAAAACAGTAACGACTTCCCGTTTTAAAGCGAGTCCACATCCACTTCTACTCTGTTTGACTCCCTCGAGGGCAGGCTCGCTCAGTAAAAGCGCAACAGCGCGAAGTTGACCTGACAGGAGGGCTCGGGAACACCTGTTGTCTGTGCGCTGCGAGCGAGCGACTGCAGGCTATTGGTCGTACACTGGGGCAAGCCTGTGCGATGCGAACGAGCGACTGCAAGCTATTGGTTCGTACACTCTCATGGTGCGAGCATGACACATTCCTATGCGAAAGTGACGTGTCCTTGCCCTTGTGCGCCAGCAGAGAATCGCCCTCGCGAGATTCTGATTCAGAACGCTCCACACATTTCGATTTGAATGAAATTGCAAGACTCTAATGCACAGTTTGGTGCGTTTATAACATATTTCTGTGTTTGTTATTATATAAGCGCATGCGCTTATAATTTTGACTCATTTATAAGCGCACCCCCCTAAAAAACACTGTTTTATTATAAGCGCAGATGCGCTTCTATCCGGGGTATTACGGTAACCAACTTGGATGCGGTTTTACAAACTTCAAACTTTTCAGACTAATGATTTTTTCAAACCTGACATTTCAGAGTACTCAGAGCTTGGGAAATGACCCTCAGACAGGCCTCTGGTTAGGTTTTGAGCTACTCTTTCACGTAAGGCCAACACCCCGCTTGCACTTTTTCTGAAAGGGTTCTCACAAAAACTACTCTTTCTAGTAAGGGTGTAAACATAATATGTTTTATTTACAAGTAACTAAACATTCCAAAATGGGTAAGTTGTTGGTGTTGTAGTGAGTTGAATTTACGCGTCTGACTCGATTTCGATACTTGAAATAGGCAAGTGTAAATGAGGAAGTATTTTTCGTGAGTAATCTTACCACACTTAGATAGATCTAACTCAATATCATCAGTGTTACTACACCACATAACTCTGAAATATCAGTGTGATACAACCAAACACTTTTTCTTGTAAGGGTTAAAATGTTGACCACTTTGATAAAAAAGGGTGCATCGTCAAACCCAGCCTTATAGTAAGGGTCATAAGGGTGAATCACCCTGTTAATCAGAGGCCTGCCCTTAGACTAAACGGTAAGATTCACCCTATGGAGACGGTGGGCGAACCGTAAGAAACAGTGGACGACGACGGAAGTTTAGCAGCCGCCTGCGCGGCTGCAAGCAGTACACACCGGAGCATCGTTCCTACTAAAAGGGCACACTGCAAGTTGTCTTTCTCTCCAAGCAAACGTGGCAGCACGCCGGTTTTTTCTCCATCGGCGCGCAACATACCTTTTTCCTCCCCGCACGGCGGCACGCTCCTTTGAACGCGGCGTTGATCGTTGAGCGCACTGTGACTCCGTGACTGGTCACCACATTTAGCACTGAGTTTCGTGCTGCACCGCATTCCAGCCCATGTCATCACGTGATACCCCGTGGTACCACACGGCACCGCGCCAAACCCAGGACCCAGACCTTGAAATGTTACAAACCCTAAGGCGCTTGATTCTTACCACTTCCTCCGCTCCTCCTTCCTCCCTCCTCCAATTCCTTCGTTCCCTCCCTCGCCCCGCCTCCGACCCCTTCTCCCGCGTGCGCCTGCGCGTCCTCATTACAGACACACTCGATACAACGTCAAACGGGGACTCCGCCGGTACCACGACGTCTGTCGACGCGACAGCTGGCGCGGCGGTATCGGACCTCTCGGCGCTGGCGGTGGACGCGAAGACGCGTGCGTTGATTAAAGCCCTCGCACCGCTGATGGGCGCCGCGGACCTGACGGGCGTCGGCAAGCCGCCCGAACGCGCCTCGTACAGTACTTAACTAAAGACTGTCAAACATTATATATGTTTCTGTTGTGTAGGCTACAGTGGGTTAGCCTTTAGGGGGTACATTTCACTAGGGTTTCCTACTTGCACTCCAACAACTTTCTAGTTCATCACTTCTTGTTTCTGACATGGTATTAAGAGCTTAGGTTCTAGACCTAAGGGCCCACCGTTACGCTAGAGGTGCCCTCGTGCGCCCTTTTTTTTTAGCGCCCTCGTGCGCCTCTCCCCTAGTGCGCCCTCGTGCGCTCTCCTCTCACGCTGCCCGTGTGCAGCCCGTTAGCAGCCCGAGCGCGGCCCCGTCGTTTTAGCGCGCATAGAAAATCCGCCGCCTAGGGCGGCCCGATTTTTTTTTTCTCGCGAGCCCCAGCAGGCCGTCGCCCGTAGGCCCCGCTCGCCCCTAGGCCGACGCGCGACCCACAGCCGCCCGCCCGCTGGTCGCAGCCAGCGCGCCGCGGCGATCGCGCGTCGGCTGCTGCAGCTCGCGCTTAGCCGCCGCTAGAACGCGGCCACGGCACGCGCGCAGCTGCACCCTAGGCGCCACCGCGCACCGAGCATAGGCCCGCCGTCGCGCCGCCATACCCACTCGAGCTGCGCCGCCCGAGTCGCGCCGCCCGAAACGCGCCGCCCGAGTCGCCCCGCCCTGACCGAGCCGCGCCGCCCTACCTGCAGCAACTGCTCTTCCTGCTTTTACTGCTACTACTATTGCTACTGCTAGTGCTGCTACTGCTACTACTGCTACTGCTACTGCTACTCCTGCTACTGCCACTATGGCCAGTCCCACTGTTCTCACCTTTGACGCCAAGGGCCGCCCGATTAAGTTCGATGTCTGGCTTGATGACCTTCACCTGTACCTCCAGATCACTGCCAAGGACGATGTTTCCCTCTATGACCACACGTCCGGCGCTGCTCCCGCACCTCCCACTACTACTGACAGTACTGCTTGCTCACAGTGGCAGACCCGTGATGCTCACGCTCGCCTAGCCGTTCGCAGCCACCTGCCGTTAGATGAGCGCGAGCACTTCGGCCAGCATAAGACCGCTAAGGAGCTGTACGACGCAGTAGTCGCGCGCTACTCCTCCCCTGCCACTGCTGCTATAGGTCGTCTCTCACTGCCCTACCTCTTCCCCGACCTGTCCGCCTTTGCCATTGTAGCTGACCTCATCACCCACCTCCGTACCAGTGACCTCCGCTACCGTGCCGCGCTCCCCCCCGATTTCCTCGCCAAGAACCCCCCCCCCCCCCCCCCTCGATGTACCTCACACTGTACCACCTTGTCACCCGCCTCCCTGACTCCCTTCGCACTGTCAGGGACCAGTTTCTCGCCCTCTCCCCCATTGACCTCACTGTCGACATCCTCGAGAAGGAACTCCTAGCAGGTGAGAAGAGCATTGTAGCTGTAGGTGCCTCTCGTGGTGACCCCCGCACCCCCTTCTTTGAGGGGTGCTCCCCCTCCCCCCTCCTCCCCTCCATTGCATCTGCTGCTGCCGTCGACTACCTCGGAGCTGAGGGGGTCGGGGCCGCGTCTGCTCCTAGTGGGAGGCGCAAGGGCGGCAGAGGCAAGGGGGGCAGGGGTGGTGGAGGTGGAGGCGGGGGCGACGGCAGTGGAGGGGGTGGGGGGGGCGGGGGTGGTGGCGGAACTGGGAGTGGCACGGGTGGTGGGGGGGTCAGTGGCGGCACAGGGGGTGGTGGCGGCGGCGGCGATGGTGGAGGTGGTGGGGGCGGTGGTGGCAGTGGTGGCGGCGGTGGAGTAGGTGGCGGGCGCGGTGGAGCGGTGCAGCGTGGGGGGTTCCGCGGTGGCCAGAGGCAGCAGCAGCAGCGTCCCAGCGACACTCCCTCGCCCCAACAGCTCCGTGAGTGGTACTCTCAGCGTGGGGGGTCTGGGGGTGGAGATACCTGCCCGTACGTCATCCGCACAGGTGACCGCACAGGCCAGACTTGTGGGAGGTTTCACACGGTGCAGCGCTGTTTTTTTTGGCCTCGACGGCGCCTGGCGCGAGCAGTTCCCTGACGCCTCTGAGCTGCCCCGCTGGGCTCATCTGCTTAGGAAGGGGATTGATATCTTTGCTCTTGATTATGATGCTATCCTTGCTGCTATGTATGCATTGACTATTAGTGCTGAGGGTGACTGTTACCTGAGTGTACCGCCCGACCCAGGTATTGGGACCTGTGAGGCTGCAGCTCTAGGTGCTACCGCGTCTGCTGCTCTAGGTCCTGGTGAGGCTGCTGCCCTAGGTGCTAGTGCGTCTACGTCTGCTGGTACCGCACCTACTGAGGCACTGCATACCTTCACACTGGACTTTGGTGCTTCCCGCTGTTTCTTCCGCGACCGCACTGCCCTAGAGCAGCTCCCTAGACCGGTTGCTGTCTCCCTGGCCGACCCCTCAGGGGGTCCGGTCCTTGCGACCTCCACCACTGCCCTCCCTTGTTCTGCTGTCCCGTCTGGCACGCTGTCGGGCCTCTACCTCCCCTCGTTCTCTAAGAACTTGGTGGCGGGTTCCGCGCTCCAGGACGCGGGTGTTCACCAGTTCACCCTGGCCTATGAGCGTGTGACGCACTGCACG